TTTTCGGGAAAATAAGAAAATTATTGTTGAAATAATTTTTTACATTATTTTTATAGTGTTAATTAATGCAGGTGTCGTCAAAGATATTTCGTATCTGAAGCAGATATGTTGAAAGCTATGCGATATGCGTTATTTGATGAAGTAACACGGAGTGGTAAATACCTTATGGGCAATAATCTAACAGCCATTCGTGATTTCTACGATGTACTTGCTAAGGTTACTCTAACTTATCATCATTTATCACAAGAGTAATTAAGTAATGGTAATTATAATTTAGCAATAAAAATTTATTAAGTATTCTTTAAATATATATATATATAAAGAGAGAAAGGGTGGGGAAGAGGGAGAGGGAAAGGGATATATATTTCTTTATTTCTCTTCTCACAAATTATTTTTAATTCCATTTTTTTTTCTTTTGAAAAAAAAGAAAGTGAAGAAATAAATTAACAAGTAGAGAATTGTTTAGCAAGGGTTTTGCTTATTCTTATTTAGTTTTTTCCTTTTTTCTGAAAGCATTTCTTAATTTCTATTGATTACTGAAGTGTTTAAATATTTATAAATTATTTTTTAAATTTCACTGCATAGTTTTGCACAACAATTTTTCTACAATTACTGATATCTCTAAAAAAAAAAAAAAAAAAAAAAAAAAAAAACATTGTTTACCTTTTTTTTTTGATAAAAAATTTTTTAAAAGAAAAAAGAAAATAATTAAATTATTAATAAATGTTATTTCAGAATTTTCCAACAAAAACAATTTATTATAATATTACTGACGAAAATAAGGTAAATAGTTGTTGTAAACATAAATTCATAGTAAATGGAAAAATTACTTAAATTTAATTTTTCTTGGAAGATATTTACAATTTCTATTGAATAAATCTAATTTAAATAATTGAATTAATGAGAAACAATTTTTTATCAATTTTAAATTTATTTATGCAATTTACTTCATTATTATAGCAATTATCGAAAAGCAAACGAGCAGTTCATTTGTTCGAGAAAATGCGCAATTATTTAGATCAAAAGGGGATGAAAGATGTGATTCCAATTAAGGAATATAAGAAAAAATTCATTAATTTAGAGGTAAGACCTATTCGTTTTTTCATTTATTATTCTGTTATATATATATATATATATGAACTTGAAAGTTAAAGTTAAGAAAGAAAGAATTTAAAACGAAAAATGATGAAAGTGCTATCATTTTGCCATTTTTTGATTGCATTTTACATTCAAGAATTTAAAAATCAAATTAGAAAATTTTGAAATATTTGATAAGTAATAAAAAAAATTATTTTATATAAATGTGGTTGATATTTGGTTATAAAAATATTTGATTATTGATGATAAACTTTTCAATGATAATTAAACATTATTAGTGAAGTATTTTTCAGGCAGAGAACAGTTATCCTTTTCCGGTAGAAATTGATTGGGAACATTGTGCTGGTTCAAGTCCAAAATTTCGAGGCTATTCTTGTGGCCTATGGACAACATTTCATGCACTTACTGTTCAAGCTTATAAAAATGGTTTAAATGGTTAGAAATACTAACTATTTGTTTGCTTGGCTTTTTTGTCTATATAATATATATATGATCAAATAAATGTTAGAGGTGAAGGTTATATTATTAGAAATCATATAATGTATTTAATTTGATACATTAATACATCTAGGAATACTTTCAGATTCGAAATTTGTTCCAATAACTCCACTGGTAGCAATTCGAAATTGGATAAACAATTTTTTCGGTTGTCAGCATTGTCGTGAACATTTTCTTCGAATGACAACCCAAACATTTCCTATGGAAAGTCAAGTTAGTAGAAATTTAGAATATTAAATGCGAAAGGATTTGAAAATTTTAGTATTCATACAAAGAAAATTAGATGAGGGAGAGAAAAAAAAAGCTCTTTTTGAGATGAATGAAATGAATGAGGAAGATAACAGAATTCATAATAACAATGTAAGAAATAAATTGAATTAAAGATAGAGTTTCAAAATATTTATTGGTGAGGTTTGAAAAATATTCATAGAAACAAATTTAGATCTTTTATGTTGCTATTTAAATTCATGCTGAGTTTTCATCTAAAAATTATATAATGCACTCAATACAATTTGTGTATTTATAAACAATATAATTTATAACTCAGTATAAATATTCAATTTAATACATTAATACATCTAAAAGCGATACATTTTCCACATTGCTGCTAATTATTATTATGAATGCACAATTTACATCTTAAGAAATAAAACTAAAATTCATTTAATTAGAGATATGCAGGAAGCAAATAAGTATAAGTTAACAATTTCGAAAACTTTGCACATTTTATTAGTAAAATTTGTTCATTTCAATTGTAAAATTCATTAACAAATATTATCATTTAAAAAGCAGAAATCAAACTAGTATATCATTTTCTTAAAGAAAAGAAAATAATCAATAATGGAAAATAATATAATATTAATAATAATTATTATTATTATAGCAGTAATAGTAGTAATAATAATGATGGAATAATATTAATAGAAATAATAATAACAATAATAGTAATTATAATACTAATAATAACGATAGCCATAGTAATATTAGTAAAAATGTTATGTGCAAACATTTTTAGGTGCATCAACCGGAAGATACATTCATGTATTTGTGGCAAGCACACAATATCGTTAATGCTCGTCTTCGCGGTCAGGATACGGAAGATCCTGAATTTCCAAAACAACAATTTCCACCTGATTTTTTATGCAGTACCTGTCGGCACGAGGGATATTTTGACAATGAACAAGTGAAAGATTTTTTGCTTATTTACTACAATGCTATTAGGCCTTTTTTAGGTTTTAAATAATTGTAACCTGATTTGATTTATTTTTTTTTCATTTTTTTGTTATAAATTTAATTTAATAAATATTTGCAAATCTTCTGTATAAATGTGCATACTTTTACTTATTTGCTTGATTACTTACTTGTCTAATTACTATAAATTTTTCTCCTTTTTTTGCTTCAATTATTTTTGAAGAAAAACTTTAAATTCAATTTAATATAGAAATGCGAAACGATGTTTCATTTACCAATTATGATATTCAGCAATATTATTTTTCTCATCTCTTTCGACCTCAATAACTTATTTTGATCTAATAATATGAGACATTTTGGTTTGATAAAATGATAAATTATGACGTGAAACATTTTTTTTTAGTTTAAAAATCAGTACTGTAATGTGTTTTTGAAGTGTATTCCTTATATTTTAATACTTTTCTTTTCAAATTTTTGTTAATTTTTTTTTTGCTATTATTAATTGAAAATGCAAATAAAAATTGTGTAGAACTGAATCATAAATATTAATTAAAATTGTGTAAATTTTTACTTTTTCATATTTCTAATACTGTTGTTATATAAACTTTACCACATACGGTTACATCATTAAGGATATTATTTATTACGAATGATAATTATTGATTAATCATTTCTCATTAATGAATAAACTAAAAATGCAAAATAAGTAACTATCATTATTTTTTTTCTCCCTTCTTCGTTTCTTTTTTTTTTTTTTAGATGAAGATTATAGAAATTGAATTATTTTTGACATGAATTTTCTCACTTTGATTATTTCAATAAAACGCTATGAAAACGAAAGCGCTTCATTCTTAAATTCTCGAATTTTGCTTTTGCCTTTTTCTTTCTGGTAATAAAGCATTATAAATCATATATACTTATATCATACATTAAATAACTTCAAATGAAATTTCATGAGTTTTAACTCATTTATAATTACATAATTTGGAACTTCCTAAATTTCGGTCACTTTCTAATATCTTCACTACTATTTCATAGTTAAAAATACCGTAGGAGATGGATATTTTGTCTTTTTAACAAACATTTCAATAAAGCGCTATGATGACGAAAGCGCTCTATTTGTAAATTTTCGGATTTTACTTTGCCGAAAAAATATTAGAGACATAGATCTTTGTGTTAACTAATTGTTTTTTGGATGAACTGAAAAAGATTTAATTATTTTTTTATTTTATAATGAAAAAAATTGAAGCAGAGATCTGCAGAATTATCAGTTGTGCATCATATCGAATCACTTCCATAATCCATAGATAAGTGAAGTTTTTACAAATTTCATAAAGGTGAATTAATTTATAGCCAATAAACATTTAAATCAAAATTTTTATTTATTTTAATATTTTTTTATTTCAAAATTTGTTTGCTCCTTGTCTTCATTTATATTCTAACAATTTCTTTAGGAATATGATATGATGTATTTGTGATTTACACAAATTTAAGCGTATTTTCAATTTTTGTAGATATTTGTTAAATAGATAAATAAACGGATAAAGATACAAACTCTTCGATAATCTTATTTCACTCCCCTTTTTCTTCTAGTATATCATCATTACAACATGTTCTTTGTCATCTCTCCCTATCATTTCTTATTTTTAATTCGTTTTTCTGTCTGAATATTCTCAATGCAACAAATATCTAACTTAAAATTTCATTCTAAACTGCATTTCAAGATTAATATTTTAAAATATGAATGCCATTTGTTGTGCTACAGTTAAGAATAACAAACGGCATGGGTCTATGATTGTTGCATAGCGCGCCACTCCAAGTTTCTTTCCAAAATTCGGCTTTTTTTCGTTATTTTGTGATTTTCTTTCCGAGTGAGTTTTAATGTTTTGAGTATTTAGGTTATTTGTTATGTCATTGTTTACTTTTTGACATATTCATATTTCTGATATGTTCATACAAAGTCTGTGATTTGTACGTTGGGTGGCATATCATACATTTGCACTTATGTTTAGCCAACACATTACGTGACGTTACGCGACATCTATTTAATGCTCATATATTTGCTTTTTTTTTTTTTTCATTTGTTAGTTTATGATGAATTCACTGAGTTAAGTTTTAGATTTCAACCAAAAGAAAATTTGGTGGCATTACCAGTTGTTGTGCATAACAGTAATGTGATAGTCAGTTACCTTATAAACGGCTAAACAACGTGAATGGGCGAATGTGATAGAAAAGCACAGCTTGAAGAAATTCAATCTATCGAATCGATATATGGTGATTTAATTCATTTTGAATCATCTTCACAACTCAGTGTACGGTTTAATGATGTACGATTGACTATTTGCCTTCCTAAACATTATCCAACAAGGTGAAATTTTATAACAATTCATATAGAACTACTATTTTAGTAGTAATTGAGCTATGTGTCAAATTGGGTTAATTTAGATCATTCAGTTCAATCTTTTACCTTGACTTACATACTAGGTAACTTACACTAGGTACATTGTGACCGTTAAGTAATTCTCTATTTCAAAGACATGGTTGGAGGAATTTTTTGACGCAGCCACTTTCCTTTTCTGTCATCTACGGAGAGGTAAATTTATCAGATTAGATTTGCGCATGTTAAAATTTGTGTTAGACTAAAAAACCGGTTAACTTTTTTGGATGATCAATTTCTTCATGATAAATCCATGGATTGTACGCATGTAGATGACAAATGACTTTTGAACTTCAGTTCGCCACCATATTTCGAACTTAGCGGTCCATCATTAACAGAAAACCAGAAAGAAGAGGTCAAAAATTCGATGAATGAAATTTATGCAAAAAATGTGGGCCAACCGGTTTTGTATGAGTGGATCACATATCTGAATGATTATCTGGCTGATTTTGATAATAGTATGAAGGAGAAATCAATTGATGAATATGAATCCTCATCTCCTAGTACAGTTGTCTCACCACCATCATTCCAACCATGCATTCCAACCATAATCAGTGGTAATTCAATGGTTGATCGAAAAAGCACGTTTCAAGCGCATGTTGCACAAGTATTCTCCAAAAATGAAGTGAATTTTATACTCTTTTTCGATGCATATGTTCGATTTCTTGTATTTTCTGTTCATCATTATAAATAGTCGTTCGTAGTTTCTTCCAAAACGCTGAACTATCAGTAATTGTTTCATTTCATCGATGAATTACGGTTTGTAAGGATGTTAATTTCATCTGTCGACATATGTGACACGTGTTACATGCTTGATTGTTTTAAAATAATTTTTCAACTTATTTTCCAAATCTTTTCATTCGGCAGGTTACACTTGTGCTTAATAAGTTGAAGGAAAACAACAAAATTGCAAGAGCAACACACAATATGTATGCATGGTTAATTGAAGAAAATCTAAGTGGCCGCTTAATAAAACAACATGACTGCAATGTAAGCTTTTTAATTTTGTCCTTTTTCCGGTTTGATTTTAACCACTTTGAGTTTTTTTTTTTTTTTTGATGTCCATCACTGAAAATGGAACATTTGGTGGAGCGAATGATTCTGAAAAATGTACAGCAAATTTAGGTATAATTATATTATGTTAACGAAATTATCTGTTTGTCATCTTCATAAAGTATGCTGATTATTCCAATAGTTCGAGTATGTTTTTAGGATGATGGTGAGATCGGTGCAGGTGCCAAATTATTGAATTTACTGGAATTGATGAAAGCCAAAAATGTACTAGTGATCATTACCCGCTGGTACGGAGGTATACATCTCGGACCGGATCGATTTCGACATATTTGTAACTTGGCGCGTCAAATCTTGGTGGAGAATGGTTTTTCTGGTCGTACTTCTTAATCATAAACTTTCCCTTTTATTATTTTACTTTTTAAATTGCATAAGGACGAAGGCTGAAGATTCCCCGGATTGATGTATCTGAATCTCCCTTTTTTTTTTTTTTTACATAAATTCATTTTACGACATGAATTCTTGATGCTTATTTCACTTTTTCATAACATTTATAGTGAAGAACTTCCGAACTTCACTGCATTTTGCTTAATATATGTGTTAGTAGAAGATTGTTTGCAAATATTCTTTTTATTATTATTTTTGAGTTTATTTAAATCGTAAAATTATATCAGGGAAATATTGACTGTGATAAATTTTGTTTTATTTCTTGCTTAATTATAATTTTATTGTATTTTCTAGATCTGGAGATTTATAAAATGCATTTCTGAATTTCAGAATAAAGGAACATGGAGAAGGAGCTTTGTTAGCAAGTTCTTAAATATATTCTATCCCTGTTAATGATAATATAAAATTTTAATGAGATAACGGATCGGATTGATCTTGTTCTTTTATATCTGCCTCTTTGTTTGGTTCGTATTTATTGTTTGCCGCTTTAGCGTTCATTCATTTCAAACTTTATATAAATCCAGTTCCTTTACTAGTTTCTGAGAAAAAGTGCTTTCTACCCATCTCTTCTTGATGTTTAAGAGAAATATAATTTATCATGTACGTGATTTACATGTATCTTGAAATTATCGTTGTAATTGCATGTTGTTTCTTTTTAAGAATTGTGTTGGAATTTTTAACTACCTTAAGTGATGCTTTATCTTAAATACATAGCTTTTTACATATCTTGGACATTCTTATTTTAAACGAAGTAAAAATCTGGAATGCTAATTCATTAGAAAAGTTCGTACTTTGACACTCGTAGTGTGACACTTAGATTTCAGTGCTGATTAATAGGAAAATTTTAATTATTGCTTTAGTTTTATTAATTAGCGGAGTCTAAGATCTGTTGAGTATTAAACTATGATCAAATAATATATTGAAGGGCATACTTCTCAAGTTAATTCTGTTTAAAAAATTAGAATAGTACTTCTATTCCAGAATTTTAGAAAATCTCTACATTGTCATAAATAAGGAAGGCTCGTAGTGTGATGTTTTACCTCAAAATCTGGATCAGATATATGCACTAAAAATATTTTATTTCAAGCTTTCTAGTACGTACTATTGGTTTTGTCTTTTTTTTTTTTAAATGAAAGACAAATATTATATACATTCATCGTATGGAAAAACTATTCTGTTGTCAACAATGCGTAATTGAAAGAGAAATTTGAATTTGTATCTGATATGATTTTTATTTATAGGTTGGTAAAGATATTTTTATATTTGTATTTGATATTCCTCTGTTATTCCTAATAGATATTTAGTGACGGAATTATTTTGCAGTAGGATTAATTGATATTTTGTGGTGAAATTATTTCCAATGGAACTATTTTTTAGAGTGAAATTATTTTACGGTAGGAAAAAAGTTTGTGGATCCAGTTTTGAACATATGTTTTTACTGCGATGGGGTGAGGCTTGCTTTGAGGCTGTAATTTGAGAAGTGCTTTTTTTTTTTCTTTTTTTTTGTTTATTGATTCTTGAAATATACATTTTCTGGTTTTTGATTTAAGTGTAGGACTATAGTTATAGCCTTAAAAAAAAAAAAAAAAAAGTGGTAATGCATTTCGAAGTAATGAAGATAAAATGATTTGGTTATGGGGTTGTTAGTGCTTGTTTGTTTTATGCTAATAATTTTCAGTATGATAAAAGTTTGTTGTATCAGTGGGAGATGTAAAGGGAATGAAATGAAATGTGATATCAATGTATTTGGTGGAATTTTCGTAATCAGCTAATACTTTTGTTTATCAAGGTGATTTTAATTTGGATTTCGATTAAATTCGTTTCCTTTCGTACTTTTTAAAGGATGCTAAAAGATAATAAACGGTGTTAAAATATTGTTGCTATTATTTATTTATTGTTTATTATTATTGCTATTAAGTTATTAATTATTACCACTTATTATTGTATTTATTACTATCACTGTTATTATTAATTATTATTATCACTACTGTTATTTATTATTTGTTATTATTATTAATTATTATTACTATTATTATTTATTGTTTATTATTATTATTATTATCACCACTAAATTATCAATCATTATTGTTATTAATTTATTATTGTCACTTATTAATCATTGTTAATTATTGGACAGCACTGGACATTTGTTTAACTGAGAGTTGCAGGTTATGGAATGAAACGGTGTAATTTTGTCACTGAATTTTTTGAGTCATAGCGATGAGTCATTCGAGTAGGATTTTTCAGGAAATTTGATGATTTGATGTCTGTATGTATTTAAATGCGTATGTCTGTTTGCCTTCTTGACGGTACACATTTGTTGTGATGACCCGGTTGGAGACAGTTGCGCTTTCTCAATAAATTGTCATCATCGTTGAGGCGCACCAGTGACTGCCAGTAATAGCTCGGTACAAACTTCGTTACTGATGATATTATTGATGGTCGAAAATCTTGACCTTTCATATCGTATGATATCATAAAGTTGAACTCATTTCTACTAGTGTTTATTATCTCCTATTGAAATGATTTAAATAATTTCATTATGAAATGGTTATTTGTTGTTTTTCTTTTCTTATTATTATTTTGATTAATATTATACCTATTATTTAGTTAGACTTGTAATTTGCTATTTAAACTATGCTACTGCCTATTTCGATGGAAGATTTGGAATTATTTCCTAAAAACAAGCAATTAATAGTACCTAAATTACCGATTGCACAATTTTCGCCAGATGAATTTGAGCAGGTATAAAGTAAAAGTTCTACCTTTAGGCATTTAACATCTAAATAATTTACTTAATATCTACCTTTAATCCAATAGAAGCAATATTTAATATCAAACAATTATTGTTTTTGCTAAATGGTTCATTCCTTTTTTTTCGGTGGGCAGAAGTATTCGTATTTTTTATAATGAATTCTCTATATTATTATCATTCAAATTGTCTTTAAGGAAAGAAAATAAGCGAATTTAATCCAACAAGAAATGAAAGTTTATGAATATAAAATGGATTTATTGTATTTCGTATTGAAATGTTTCTCTCAAATTTTAGATGCGTAATCAGTTAGCAAAAATTTGGTGGTCACGTCTTATTATCGCTGTACGTGGTTACGTTGCAAATTATATTGAAGATAATGATGAGAAATTATTTCTTGCTGATGATGCATTTATTATTATTCATCGTTATCTTGTCGAATCAAACGTAACGGATGCTATACAACAGGTGTAATAACTTTTTTCGGTAATATTGAGAAAGGGAAAAAACTAAATTCTTGAAAAAAAAAATTTTTTTTTTTTTCAGGCAATCTTTGTTCTGTGAAAACTTGTCATTTAAAAAAATTCTAAATGGTTTTCTTTTTCTTTTAAGAAGTAAGAAAATGAAATAAAGAAAATTAAAGTAATGTTTATAGGAAATAATAAAAAAAAAAGCGAAGAAGGAAGAGCGCAAATAAAATTGGTACTGTACAAAGTACACACTGATAATAAATATAAAACTGAAACAAGTTAAACAACAATCAGAAATTAAAAAAAAAAAGTAGGATTATTCCTTTTGAAAAGAAAAAAAAACGGAAGGTAACTTACTAAAATTAAATAAGAAATAATATAAGGAAGAGTAGGAAGGAGAAAAAAAGATATACAATTTGTTCTAAGTGATATGAATCACCAGTCAACCATTTTTTTTATCTATCCTTATTTAAGAAATAAAATTAATTGAGCTTACAACTGGATTTCTTTTTTTGTAATTGTTTCAATATTCTTTTAAATAAGTAGAGGTTGTCATTGAAAAGGCAAAATTTGGAAGGGATCAAATTAACCAATTCATTTTTTATCCATCGTATTATGTACTATCAAATTATTTTAATTAATTTAGTTATTTATCATTTATTCAAACTGAACTGATAGTTTATTTAAATCCAAAGCTTAATTCGACTGGTTTTTTTCTTTTTCAAATTAAACTTTCAAACCAATTTCAATTTGCCTAGACTATGAATTTAACTGTCAATGCAATTAAAGTAAATTTAAAATAAATACAATTGGAATAAATTTCAAATTAATTAATTATAACACATGAGCAATTTTTATATATAAAAAAATGAAGTAAAAATTTATTGAAGAAAAAACAAGTAACATTTTTATCTTAAGTTATATGGAAATGATTCATGTTGAAATCATCAATAATTACTGTCAAGAATTTTTCCATTAGTAATTTAAAATTTTTCATAATTTGAAATAAAAAGTAAAACATTTAAAGCGATGACTAGGAATTATTTTTCATTTTTTTCTGAATTTTTTTCCTACCATTTCATCACTCAATTTTATTGTTAGAATTTTTTTAAGCAAGAAAAAAAAAATAGAAAAGATTCAGTTGAAGAGGAAAAAGATCATTTTATTTATAAAGTAATCAACTTTGTTAAATATTTCTCTTCGCTGATGAATCAACAGCGATTATTCATTACATAAAGATAAACCAGTTCTTCATGATATTCTTAAATTTTTTTTTTTGCCATTTCAGAATTTTTTTTTTTTTTAAAAGAAATGAAATATATATTATCAATTATTCATTGTTTGCGTAGGATATTAAAAGAGGGTAATACCTATTAAAAAGTTATAAATTTTGGATAAAAAATTAACTGAGGATCATAGAGTATTTGAAATGAGAAAGTTCTCAAGAAATGACAGAAAGAGTATTTCTACTAGATTAAATTCTATGTTTTGCTCATAAATATAAAATATGTAAAATGAATTTAACTTTGAAGAATAATTTAAAGGGAAACAAACGTATGACTGTGATTTTTGTTATAACATAAACTGAACATAAAATACCAAATCATAAATTGCAGAAATTTATGGGTAAAAAATCAATTTTTTACTTCTGTTTCTCTCTTCTTTGTAAGGCAAAAATGATAATAGCAATCGATTGCTTCTGTATACAACTTTCAGAATAGACCTAATCAATAATTCGATCATTCAACAAACTTTATCAAAATAATTTTAGGAAATCAATAATTTCAACTGATCTATCATTTATTTCAAATTAAAACATTTTTCATTTCAAGCAAAATTCTTCATGTATAAATTTCCTAATATATGCATTTCTTTCTTCTTTTAGTTTTTAATTGATCTGGAATTTATTGTTAATTATCCAAATGTAATTACAATTCTTAACGATCTCAGTAATGGCTTTTCAAAATATAATCCATTTGTTGATCCTAAAAGTAACAATCATTTTATCAGGTTAATATATTTGTTTTGTTTTTGTTTTGTTTTTTTTGTTTTGTTTTTTTTTCCAAATGTTCGAGAATTAAATTTAGAGAGATTTTATTTTATTTATTTCTTGCTTAGTATTTTAAATTATTTTCAGAACATTTATACATTTAATATTTTTTTTTTTTTTCAGGATTTACGGGGAACCGGATAGAGGAACATATCGTGTTGCAAATGCTCAAATTATTGCTCATATTATATTCATGCATATATTTTTGATATTACAACAACGATGGAAATTTTCAATAAAAAAACGTAAAAGTATCCGATTTCAAGAGGATCCGGAATGGCAACCTGATGATCGTGTTGTCCTTTTTCAACATTTTTTTAAAGGTTTATCATACAATTCTTGCAATATCATTTGTAATATATGAAAAATGTAGCCAATACTTTAAAGTTACATTTTATTTATATAGTTACTACACACTAATAAATTATTACGAAAATAATTTTTCATAGTAATATCATAAGAAAGGATTAGAACAAAAAATGATATAACCTTTAAATTTTGAATTAATCGTTGCATATTTCAGCATATGCCAGTTATGACTTTTTTTTTTTTTTTTTAATAGAATAGAGAAATATAAAAGCTATGTGTAAAGTTAGATGTAAATTAATAATGAACTCAAATATTGCCTCATTATAGTATTATGTAATTATTATTTATAATTATTATTAGATATATTTTGATGAAATATTAATTAAATGTGATGCGTTTAATATTAATTCAATTTTCTTCCTAATATATTCGATTTTTCTTTTTCCTTCATTTTATCAAGGACACAGCAATTTTTTTTTTATTTTGTTTTCTAATAATTTTTAGCGGTGACGTTTACTATAAGATCGTATCATATCTATAGTAACATTTTCTCTCATTACATATCACATCTAATGGTGGTTTTATTGAAATTTAGAAAATGAAAGCCTTTGACTTAGTCTTATTTATAGTTCTTTTGATCTGTAAACGAAGCATGATGTTGTGTCTTTATTTGATTATGACCTACAAAATTAGTCCAAGTGTAGTTCAATTTATCATAAATGCTTAAATTTGTCATTTTATGAATTCAGTAATAATTTCCGCTGACAGCACTTTCGACTCTTCCACACCGCATCCGACAGTCTTTTTGTTGAAATTAATTAAACAAAACGGATCAGAATTTATACACTATACGATCAATTTGTCATATTAATTTGATAAACATTTTAATTTTAATGAATGGCCTAATTAAATTTAGGTATAAATTTAATTGATTCTTTCTTTTAAATGAAATTGCATTTTTAAAAGAAGTAAAGAAATGAGCAGAAGATAGAAGCCGAAAGAAACTTTATTTACAATTTAATTTAATGCCAGGCTTACTTAGCTCATTTTTGTATACATTTGGTAAAATCTGGCCTACTAATAGTAATACAAGATTAGAAATGACTGGATGCCGAAAATTTAGAAGTATCAAAAAAACCAAATGGATAATGTTTATTTTTTGCCTATCTAAGCTAATTTTACTGAACTAGCTTAAATTAATGACTAAATTGCTTAGTTTAATAAAAAGTTATTCAATCGTAAAGGCTTTAGATTAATTGTAATATGTATCATTAAAGGATGAACCGCATCGATAATTTAGGCAATGTTGGAAACATCAATAATCAAATAGCACTCGCGACTATTTTGTAAGAATAAAGGCTCTAAAAAACTTTTGGTTTCTTTTAGTTTTTGTTTATATAAAAAAAAGGAAGAAATTTTAATCTTTTTTTCTAACTTCAAAAATAATTATTTTTAGGAAATCGAACATGGGTAATGACTGATTTTGATCGGCATATTATTAATGTGTGGCGTCCAAAAGGATCAATTGTAATCTTTGGTGATCGTTTCATTAAGGATAAGCAACGATTTGGATATTCATTATGCTTTTATTGCGGTATGTTGGAACAACAAATTGGTCAGTTTAGATGTCATCGACAACGACGATACTGTTCTCAAAAGTGTTTCTATGCTGCACTTGCTGAAGATAACAATACAGAAAGAATTTAAAAATAGATTGAAGGAAATTTGAGAATAGATTGAAGAGAATTTGAGAATTATTAGATCTAGTGCTTATTGCATATTTATAGTACTTACTGTATATTTGCATATATCTATGATGTTCTAATACTATAATATTTTATGATTATTTTACATGTTGAAAATAAAATATATATGCATGTTTTGATATATTCACATAAGCTATAACTTTCAAACTAGCAATGCTTTGAAATATTCGCAAGTATTCCATCACTTATGTATTTATTGAAATTAATTGATGTTTAATAGCATTAAAGCAAGCATGTATAAAATTAAAAAAAAAAAAATCCTCACTAATGCATTATTAATTACAAACAACTGTAATGCAGTATATTATACAATATTTTTTCTTATTTTATATTTCAAATATTTGTGTGATTTTTTTTCACCAATCCATTTTTACCTAAATATTTGTGTGTTATAAATGCATAAGATATTCGTATGGATTTCGAATATTTTATTCTGCAAATATTAATATGATTTAGTAAATTAAACTGTTAATCATTTGTTCAAAAAATTTACATTAATAGAAAAAAAAAAAAGTCAATAACAGAAGACAAAATGAAATAATTCATTAAATCATAAAAAGAATCTGGTATTTCAATTCGAAAAAATTTGACATTCCAATTTGGAAATTTTAATTTTTGATATTCTAAGCTGAAAAACATAGTCTTTGTAAATTAAACTGTTATATTTTCGTAAATTTGGAAAGGAAAAAGAAGGTAACAAATTTTATAAACTATCTCAACAATTGGATCTGGTGATGAGGACGGGTCTGTCTGGCAGGGCAGTCTAAGGCGTTGCGTTCAGGCCACAGTCTACTTTAGTGGGCACAGGTTCAATTCCTGAGGCGGACAGGGTTGTTTACAAAAGAAATTTCCCTCTTTCTTTGCACAATATTTGCAATCAACTTTTCAGAGATTGTACGATAGATTTTATATAAGGTTTAAAATATACATTAGAAATAATAAATATCCAATAAGACTTGATCAACGGAATAAAAAAATATTGAAATTTAAGAATTTTTTTAATAAAATTTTAGCATTTAATACTCAAAAACAGCAATTTTTTGGACAAAATTTTATCATTCAAAAGAAGAACGAAAGCAAAATGCAAAAAGCAGCAATACTAAAATTCCTTTCTTTTCTTCTTTATTTTTAAATTTTTATTAAATTTTTTGTATTAAGAAGAGAATTTTCCTTTTTCAGAAAAAGAATTACGCTGATTAAAATTTTATAGCAATGTAAAAGTAAAATGTACAGCAATAAAAAATGAATAATTCAATTTTATTCACTGTAAAATTTGAAACAATTTATTTCTTATTATATAGATTGCAATATAAATGAGAAACTTTTAGGTCATTTTGTTAATACAAATCTATTGCTTATATCTTTTGTTTTGTTTGGAATTTTTGATAATTTCATTCATTATTTCTGTCTTTTAAACTGATAAATTTAAAGAAAAAAAAAAAAAAAAAACCGATCACAAATATTGGTTTGTTCGGTGCTATCTCTTTATGGTGCTTTTTTTTTTAAGAATATGAAATGCTAATTATCTCGGAGGAAATTTTTCACTTAGCAAAACTCTTCCTATTGATTTTTTTTCAACTTGTCATTAAATCGATAATATTAATGAAGAACTCCGCCTAATTTTTTGTCAGATTTTGAATTTCTTATTGATTAGTGAAGAGTAACTGAATGTTAGCTTCCGACCAACGTTTTATAGGAAGTATTAAGTGTAATGTTTCGTATTTGAAATTTCTCAAAAAAAAAAAAAAAAAAAATTATTTCACACGCAGATAATTACAACTTGAGATGTCGATTTGCATATAGAGGTGTTAGATTAAAATTTTAAAGTTTGAAGAAGGCGCCTTTCCATTCCATCTTTTATTTTTGTTAGCATTAGGAGGGTCGGAGGAGTTGATTTGATTTGAGGTTATTAATATGATATGATAAGAAGATTTTGGATTGTTAGATATTAGGGAAATTATGGGAAGGATTTTTAAATGATTATTTGGATATTAGGAAAAAAAAAAGGTTTCATAATTATTTGAGAATGAGAAATAGATTATATGAAGTAAAAGCAGGGAATAATAACATTTTCTAAATGTAATAGTAGTAATCTACTTGAAGAGTTCGAAAATTGCAGAATGATAAACTTTTAGAAATTTTAGAAAAAGGAAAGAAAAATTAGACGGCAAAATTTCAATTTTTTTTTGGGTAAATTATGATTAAAAAAAGGTTAAAAAAAGTTAAAGTTTCAACGGTTTCTTATTTATTAATTTAAATGCCCAGATATATACATATCATATCTTTATAGCCATCGGATATAAATCTTATGCGATCACCTAATAACAATGACGTAAAATCGACATTGTGAATAAATATAGGTAGATAAACTTGTTCGTAAATGTCATAAATATTTTTTCAGAGTATCAGGTTATATTTCTCCTTTTTCTCATGTGCTGCAGTTGAGTCATTACAATGAATCGTCTGCAACGTGTATGCTTTTTGAGTCTTAATTTCCTTATCAGCGCTGTAATTCTTAATTTTTTGAGCGAGCTGCAGTTCCAGGATCATTGAGTCATTCCATCATATTAATGATCTTGTTCTATAAATGCCTGACAACGTAATTTAAGATACCAAAGAATCTGTTGTTTACCATCTAGTTTTCAAACTTTAGAAATGATTTCTAAAAAGATACATTTTGTTTTAGGAGTACGATGACCTGGAAGAAATCGGACGTGGTGGATTTGGAGTCGTTTACCGTGGTCGATGTGTTGCCAAAGGGAAAGAATGGAGCGGAAAAAATGTCGCAATCAAAAAGGTAGGAAAAATCTTTTTACTTTATCTAAAATGTGTAATGTTATTATCTCTTCATTATATAAATAGTATTTCAGATTGATATCACAAAAGCGGCAACGTTTCGAGTCGAATTAGAGTTACAAGCTTTATCCAGACTTATCCATGACAATATCGTGAAGTTTTATGAGCAGTTCCAAGAAAATGGTGCGCAGTATATAATCATGGAGTATTGCAAACATCGGTCACTACGAGATTACGTTAAACAAAATGGAAGATTATCTGATTTTTCAGGTGAGATTTTCTACTAATTCTCTTTGAGGTATTAATACAGCGCAACCTATTTATAGAAATTTCAAGCAAACTTGTGAAGTATTAATGCATATCATAGAACCAATTCTAATCGACTGTCGTTTATGTTTCGTCGTAATTTTTGATCTGGAAATAAAATTTATTATTCTTACGACTCTACACTGTGATTTTAAATACAATATTTCCAGCGGCATATATTCTTCGTCAGTTAGTAAGTGCAGTGAAGTATATACATGAACGTAATATGATACACCGTGATATCTCTGCCGGGAACGTCCTTATTTCATCGATCAGAGAAGATAAATTATTTGTCGTAAGTTTTGCAGATTAAAATTTTGTGGTTGCTATATTCAGCCTGTAATAACGATTACAAATCTTTTTAAAATATCGGTTAAGTGGAGTTTTAATGGATTTCATGTTATGCTGCTGAATTATCTAAACCTTTTTATTATGCTTATCTTTAACTGCTGCATTTTTGAGTGATTTAATATAGAAACATGTTATGAGTTATAGAAACTTGCTGATTTTGGCCTTGCGACGAAATTCCGGAAAGGTGACATTGCTAGGACAATGCTTGGAACTCCCGGATACATCGCTCCGTAAGCGAATCAATTTTTTAATATCTTAACTGCAGATTAGTTTTATAACCCTCAAATTTTCTGATTTATGAAAGTAAGCTTACTAATTAAAGAATGATGGGACTGTGAAGTATTATTGTACTATTACGATGTTCTTTTTCAAATAAATAATCAAAAAATTTTTTTGCAAATTTGAAATTGCCATTAAGAGTAAGTCCAAGTGCATAAAACAACGTGAAAACTTCTATTATTACTAGATCTTGATTAAGAAATCTAGATCTGTTGCCTGCAAAAAACTATTTCCATTTTATATAAGATTGTAGGCAAGTGTATAATCGGCACTATAATCAAAAGGCAGATGTTTATTCTTTGGGTGGAATATTATATCTAATGTTAACTGGGTATGATCCGCCGAGAGATTGTGAAGTGAATCCTTTCAAGGAAACAATTTCGTTAGAAGGTGCTACTCTCATTCAAAGTATGATGGATCCAAATGAAGAAAGACGTATTTCTCTTGCAGGTAGCTTGTTTTTAAGTGCTTTTAAGCAACACAGTCATTGCCAAGATCTTCAGTTAGACAAACTGTATTTATTATGATTGTTCATCTCATTTCCACTTATACGCAGTCATTCTCACGTTATGCACATTGCCACATCAATAAACAAATGTATGGTTCACTTCGTTTAAGATATATCAATGAGTGATTTTATGAGGAAAGTTGATGGACTTAGTCTTCCAATAAGTAGATCTCGAGAAGTATCGAAAGAGAGAATCATTTATCGTGATTGTCAAACTGCGGTAAGGTGGTATTTGTATTTTTATGATTTCAACAGCAATTTTTTCCTATTCTTTATAGTGAATGATTAATGGTCGGTTGATTAAATGTATTCAGACACCACAGATTTTAACTAATAGCAAATGCAACATATACAATATTTGGATTGCAACTGATATCGAGACTTTTTGTACTATTTTCAGCATATTTCACCGGTAATTGTTCGAGCACATTCGGCGAGACCAATGGCTAGTGGATATAAGCGTATGACTAAAGATTCTGCATTTGAAAGCAGCGAAAGTGGTCATCCTGTTCGTTTTTTTACTTCTGTTAACATGTCATGTTACGGACTATATTTTTTGTTGCTTTTTATCATTTTCATTGTTTTTTACCATTGTAAAGTTTCGTTTCTTTATTAATTCACTCTAAATTTTAGATAGGATGTAGATTCATTTCCATCCTCTATACACCATGATTAATATAATTTAATCTAAAGAAATTTAA